TATCTCCTTTCCAGACGGACCCAAATTTGAATCCAATTAGTTTCATGTCCTTTACATGTCATCATGATTTTCATAGCTCCTCCTTCCACCCCCAAAAAAATAGTAATAATCATAATAATGAAGTTGTGTGAATATGATATGATAGCAGTAGTTGGCACTATTAACATAATAACACAAAAGAAAGCACAAGATGAATGAGACAACCAACAAGCAAAATACAATAATTGCAACAACCTACCAAAGAAAAAGAACAAATTTTAACAAATAATCATGTGCTAAAATGAAAACGCAAACACTTGTTCGAACTCAAAATCGATAAGATAGCCAACTCCATTAGAGTAAAAATATAACTCAAAATAGACACTTCAATAGATGTCGTTATCATGTCATTCGTGGGAGAGGGGGAAAAACATGTTTATACATAAACCATGAACCTGAAATCAATGAAAAAGATAAACCGTAATCAAGTGATGTTAAAACCACCATGAGGTTATCTTTGTGACTATGGTAGTGCATAGAAAATAGTTTCTACAATATATCTTAATAAGTACTTAGGGAGATAAACAATTTCCGTTTATCAGTATAATAAGTTACTGCAGAAGCAGGTTTTATAACTAATCTAAACATGAAATGAATGCCCAGAGATAAGAATAATTTCCATCTTCAACACAATAGAATTTCACAAAAGCCCCATCATAATTTCTTCATTCTGAGTTGAGTTTAGGCAATCATATTAAAACTCATAGAGAACCCCACATCACAATAACTTCGATTATAAAACAACTTGATCAGAAATAAATGTAAAGAAAAACACACACAAAACAAACAAACAAGCAAATAAAAATCTTATTAGAATCATGTAGTTAATATTAGAGGCAGCAATGGTGGGTTTTGGATCAGTGATGACAAGAGGGAAAAAAAAAAAGAGAAGGTAAATCTGAATTTCACATGAAGTATTATGTTATCGTGTTTAGGGTTAGTTTAAGTTTTATTCTGTGGAGTCTTTGTTAGCTCTAGAATATTCTAATTGGTCAAAATTCCTTAAGCTTATAGAAATATGGGAAGTCTATCACCTGTCAAAATTTTGTAACTAAAAAGGCAAAACAAAAACATCAAGCTCTAGACATCCACAATATTATTAAAATATATATATTTAAAGGATCTGGGTTTGTTTACTTTAGTCATTAATAAATAAGTATTGTAAAACTAGGGTCACAATGTACTTTGTTCCTACAAATGAAGAGAATCCACCAAGCCGACGAAATTATCCATGTCAAGTATAACCTTCCCTAAATCTAACTATACCAACAAAAAGAACCTCTCAAGCCTATAAAGGGGTTGTTCAACTCCTCAAAAGGTCTTCCTATTACGCTCTCTTCAAATGAGCCACATCAAATGTAATGGAGCTAATCACAAAAGGCCCTCCTCCTCTGCCTCCACACAAACTAAACAAAACAAGACACATGTTTATAAGATTTGTCAAACTGATCATTGAAAACAAAAAAGAGATCAAGATTTTTGGCTTTTTTTTAAGAAAAAAAATAAATTAACCACACATATATGGAGTAGTTCACAGCATTACTTTCCACTCAAGCAGGATATGAAAGATGCAATAAAAGAATATACAATTCTACACCTTTAAAGAAAAAAAGAAAAAGAAAACCAGACAATTCAAGTGAGTCTGTAGATAGCTTGATCCAGAAGAGAGATTGAGAATTATCCGGTTGGCTTAGTCTGCTAGTACAACATAGAAAACAATGCGTCAACCATCAAAGAGTAATTTTAACTTGGACGAGAGAGGTCAGATTACAAGGGTTGGACCAACCAACCAAAGCTGAGTTGATGGACATTCTTTGAATGAGGTGATGGACAGATAGCTGGATGCGGACTCAGTATTTGTGGTGAGCACAGAAACAATAACGAGTGAATGAGGTGATGGACATTCTTTGAACTGGTCTCTAATTAATAGATTGCAGTATAATAAAGAGAACTAGGTGCTCTGGGCAAGTTGATTTTGTTCAATTTCTTTGGTTTCTATGAGACCGGAGGCAATTGGTTCAAAGTGATGTCTAATAGCTACTGTGTATTGAGAACAATATTCCTACACATTTTGTTCTCCTCCGCAAACTTATGAGAGTATCATTCATACATTTTTCCACCAAGAAAGCTCTGATATTATTTGCAACAAAAAACATTAGCAATTTATTTGATTTCTTTTATATTAACCATGATGTATTCAAACTAATACATGGAGTCTGTTAGTTAAATCTAAATGGATATATACAACTGTGACCAAAGGATTATTGACAACCATTAAACTACTCTTTTCACAATTAATTTAAAGGAATGGAGAATTGAAGAATTGGAGAAGTACCTCAAATACCCATTGCAACTGAAGAACCAAAATGAATCTCAATGGGCCTATGTGGCCAAACACCACCCTTACAGAACAGCTCAAATCGCATCATAACTTCTGCACAAGTACATAATATTAATTGCATATTTTAACAAAATCAAGTTTTGCCCAATATTGACATGTTAGTATTCAACATAAAATGTCATTTGTCAAGGACCAATCTGGCCAAGCTGCCTTCTAGTATTCTAATCAAACCTTAATTTGCATATCTATACATCCATATGACAGACTCCAGACCTTAGGGTCTGGATGCAACAAGCAGATAAGGCAATGTGACCAACTCTTTAGTTAGTATATAGATAATTAGTGAGCCTAGCATGATATCTTAATTTTAGGATTATAATAAACTCAAACCAGTAAACCCTCCAGCAGAGCGAAGAATTTTTGGATTCTATAATTACTCAAGGATTCAACCCGGGTTCTTCCATGAAACACAAAAATACACGTACTTCATTCTAAATAATCCAGTGGCTTCAATATCAGTTAATATCTCTCACAAGAATACACGTACTTCATTCTTTTTATAATTTATGCTGTCACTGCGCCATGACACAGCATTTGTCACAGCCATAGGTGGCCTCTGTGTCACTTCCATCCTATAAGCATCGGTCTTAATAAATTCACTTAGAATCTTTGCTTCAGTGTATTGAGGGTAGCCAAAGTCCATCATCTCATCAAGTAGTTCGTACTACCAAATGAAAAAGCATCAGTAAAGCTTCTTCGAAACAATTATTAGTATCACAATCAAAACAAAAGACCTTGATAGAAAAAAGAATTGATAAATTAACTTACCACTACAACAAAGTTATGTCTAAATGGTTCCTCTTCTAACTCTTCAAAATAATGCTTAAAGACCTGCCAACCAAAACATGTATAATTAAATTTGCAAAACTGATTCATCAAAGAAGTTAATGATTTTTTGTCCTCTCAAAGCATCTACAGGCAGACAGCACCAAAACAGACTTGGTCAACATTTGTCCTCTCGCTTTTATCTAAAAAATGCTACTAAAAAATAATTAACAAACCAACCCCTTCATATCAACCCCAATCAATTGATACAAAAATATCCAAACCATTTAGCCAATTACCCACAGTGATGCATTGGCAGAGTTACCAGCATAAAAATTCCCATTAATCCAAAACAAATGAACACAGATGAGATGATCTTAAAAAAAAATTGAGCTTTCGAAGCAAATTCAGTATCAAAGGAACATCAACTACAGTTTCTATCACTGGCATAGCAATTCAAATCAATCATAAACATTCATGCACACAGTTACATGTAAGTACAGAGAGAGAGAGAGAGAGCGAGAGAGCGAGAGAGAGAGAGAGAGAGAGAGAGAGAGAGAGAGAGAGAGAGAGAGAGAGAGGAGACCTTGGGGCAGCATTTGCCGCAGTTAGAGCAACGGATGAACTTGACATGGCCACGGGCGTGCTTGTTGCGGCCGCCATTCCTTCGCTTGAAAGTCTGCACAAAAACAAAGATACATACATATATAGATTCAAAGTTTTGATTGATTGATTGATCGATGATAATTGGTAGTAAAACTGAGAAATCAGTATCTCTAATCAGCGATCTGTCTTACCATCTTGATCGGTAGCCTCTGGTTCACTGCCCAAACCCTTGCTTCAAGGTTCTGCCTCGACGGCTCTCTAGGGTTTTTTTTGTTTTGTTTTTGCGGGTAGGGGAACACTGTGGGTAATGATCACTTGTGTGTGATACTGTTGCCTACAGATAAACGCGCAGGTCCGAATTAATGAAGTGGCGCGCGAGTTGAAATTTCAACCTTTACCGACTAATTTTCTACTTAGTCGGGAAATGAATGAATTATCACTCAACAGCGACGAAAGTTTTGGTCGCTAAAAGTCATATTTTGCGACTAAGTACTATTTTAGTCAGGAAAATATATATATTACAGGTTAATTTTTTTTTTTAGCCTAAATTGTATACTAACGGCGACTAAATTATTTTTAGTCGGGAAATGAATGCATGATCAGCCTTTACCGACTAAACTTTTTGTAGCCAAAAGTGTAATTTACCGAAAAGACCATTAGCGACTAGATGTCAATTAGTCGCCAATTAGTTTTATAAAATCTCTCCAAATTTTGAAATTAATCCCTCCAAATTTTTTAGTTTTGGTGACTAAACTTTTTTTTTGTCGCTGAAAGTACGTTTTTGGCGACCAAAAGTTTGGTTGCCAAAGAGAAAAATTATTTTTTTATTTTCCATTCGGTTACTAAATATTTTAGTAGCGAAAAGTCAATATTCAACGACTAAAATTTTTTTTTGTCTCTGAAAGGACATTTTTGGCGACCAAAGTTTAGTCGCCAAAGAGAAAAAAATCATTTTTTATTTTCCATTCGGCTACCAAATATTTTAGTAGCCAAAAGTCGATAATTAGCGACTAAACTGATTTTTCGTCGCCAAACCTATACTTTTGGCTACTAAATTTTTTTAGTCGCCAAAAAGTTTTACTTTTGGCTACTAATGTTGTTTTAGTCGCCAAAACCTATACTTTCAGCGACCAAAAATTTTTTTAGTCGCCAATTTGGTCGCCGTAGGTGCATTTTCTTGTAGTGTAGAGACTCTAGGAGAGATGTCAGGGCGGTTTTGAGTGGCAGATGCACCCACAACCGCCCAAAGATCTTCACGACAAGCCAGAAGACAACCCTCAAGAACGCCTCGCTTCGACACAGAGTCAAAGTGAGAATGTTGCCAATAGAGAAAAGAGTAGCTCTTCGCCTTGCATATGAGAAATTCCTGGTAGCTGCAAGGATTATATCGGTGATGTTTAAGGCCAACCTAACTACGAAGAGTCGCTTGTAGACCGTGAAAAGGCCTTGATCGACCTGTATAATCGATAGTCTTGATGAATCTTTGGGCTTTGCGGCCTTTGGAGGTAGTTGGCTGTGGCTTTTGGAAGCAGGAAGGGGAAGGGGAACTGGGTTCAGGTCCTCCTCCTCGTTTCCTTCTTCCAAAGAGTTTAAAGTGTCGTCGTCTTCATCGTCACCCTCAAGTTCTAGATCACAGAAATGGCTACTGGCTCGACTTGTGGACTTTTGTATGATGCTGGAAGATGGGACTATTTTTGAAAAGCTGCCCCATGGAAGCCATTGTCTTTTGCTTCCATGACGCTCGGCTATGGCCGGAGTTGTGATGGCGAATGGGTCTGAATGTGGTTTGATCTCAAAGGCCACACCTCGGCAACTTGAAAGCCTTCCAATCTTGTCTGGATTCTCCATATATAAATATTCAATACTAAAGCAGAAGGTGAAGGTAGCAACAGAAGAAAGAGCTTGTGAGAGCGGATTATGGTAAGAGTATTTATAAGCTAGTGTGTGTGTGTCTGTGTGAAGTTCAGCTGACTGTTATTCAGACCCACCCAAGGTTTTAAAAAGCGGTTGCGGTCGCCGTAACGGTGGCGGTGGCGCGGTTGCGGTTGCGGGGTGTAAAGGCCATAGTGTAACGGTTGCGGTAACCGGAACCGTGAATTTTTTTATTTTTCACACAATTTGAAACAAACTTACGGATACGCATATTTTTTTTCCAAGATCATATTTATTGGGTTAAAAATAAATATTGATCAATTTTTATAAATTTTTAAGTATGATCTAATATATTTCATATTTTTAAATTACTATAAACTGAGTTCTTTTCATTTTATTTTAATAATTAATGACTTTATATTATACAAAAAATCAATCACTAACTATTATATATAAGATAAACAATGACAAAGTAAAAGAATAAATAAAAGCCTAAATATATATATATACATATTTTAACCAACCCAAATAGATAATGACCACACCCATTATTATTATTATTTTCAAACAATATATAGATAGACACACACAAACAAAATGGTTGAGTGATAGCAGCTGAATAGAATAGCATAGGTCTTACAATTTCAACGAATCAATAACATGTTCTTCATCTTCCCTATTCTCTCTCTATCTCTTGTTCCTCCATCTTCCCTCTTCTCTTTTATCTTCTCTCTTCTCTCTATCCCTCTTCCCCCATTTTCAGCTTTGTTTTGTGTGTTTTTTGGAAAGAAACAGTTTGGAACCGTTACGTAACAGTGCGTAACAGGCCGTTACGGCTGTTACGACACCGTTAAGACCGCTACGGTAGCCGCTACGGCCGACACACCTGTGAATCTCAATCACACTGCAAAAGCGACCGTAACGGGTGGCGGTAACCGCCAAAACCGTTACGTAACGGCGTTACGTAACGGTTGCGGCCGCTTTTTAAAACATTGGACCCACCTCTTGTCTTGGAAAAACAGGCCCAACATTTTTATTTATTTTATTTTTTAGTATATTGATTTTGCATTTGTGGTTGTTTCAATTTAAATGAAGACAATTTGTGTGGGCCGGTAATTATTTAGTAATTTCGAAATATAGACGCATAATATTTTATAATATTGTAATTGATAGAAAAGATGGGTAATAGTATTGGGTGATTAGAAAAAATGAGGGATATAATGAGTAATGATCAGTGTAGTATTCCAAAAATATTTCATAATTTTCCGTACTTAATTTACTTAAAAATTCATTAATTGTCCATATGATAACCTCATCTTAATATGGAGGTTGCTTCTATTTAAATGTGGAAAAAATACATACAATCATCTAACTTCAACATAATTTAATTAAGTTATCAATCTATATTACTCATATAAAGAGAGAATAAATTCATATTTAGTCAATAACTCAAAATACAAACTATTGATTGGTTGGTGAAAATTACCATTGAATTTGAATTGAAACTATCTATATTGAAAACCCATTTCTATATTTTCTATATTATAGTAATGGTTTCAAAATAGATAGTTTCAAATTACTCTTTCGGATAAAGAATGAGATTGGTCCAATAATTGTATTTACATCAATCCATATTTATTAGAATTTAATTCACTTAACATGTTAAAAAAAAAAAAAAAAAAAAGAAAATTCTAAAAAAATTCAAAATTTAGTTAGGTAAAAAAAAAAAAAACTCATTCTTTTAGTATATGATTTTCCCTTTTTTGATAAATAATAATTTAAAAAAATTTTAAAATGTGTTTTTTAGTATTTATTTTTATCAAATTAGTTTCTAATTTTTGGATAAAAAAAATAAAATTAGAACACAAATTCTAAAATCTTGTATTATGGTGCTACAATCTTATGACTTATTCTAGGAAAAACAAAAAGAAATAAATACGTAACTATTTTCTCTACTTGTCTCTATATAATAATAACAAATTGATAACCTAATTAATTGGAACCTTCTCTAGTTCCAATTTTCTAAATTCAATTTGATGAAAATTAAGTTTTTTTATTTTTTTTATTTTTTGTATTATTTTATTTTTCATAATTTTTTTTAGCATTTCAAGCAATTTTTTTTTTTTTACTTTATAAATATACCTAACCTGGATATACCTAAAAAGTAATTTTAAAATAATAATAAATACACATTAATATGAAAATGTACCAAAATTTTCTTCTTCTTCTTCTTCTTCTTCTTCTTCTTCTGGGTGTATTTTTGTTATTTAGTGATTTTTTTTTTAAAACTTTTTAGACACACTTAATATAAATACAATTAAGAAGTGTAATATTTTGGAAAAAAATATTTAAAAAATTCACTAAAAAAAAATACAACAAATAAAAAAAATCTTAAATTTTAGAAAATTAAATTCAGAAAATTAGAACCAAATAAGGTTTCCTTAAAAGACTCTACTTTGAGGTGGGTTGCCATGGACAATTGGTAAATTTTCGGATACATTGGGGAGGCTCCTAATCTTATTGTTTTTTGGTCCAGTCCAAGATCGGACTGGACCATGCTGTTAGGTCTGTGGAGGTCCATTACAGGTTCTATTTTGATAATCCGAACTATTTAATGTGTAGAACTCATCGAGTACTATATGGCTGTAAAATATCACGTTGATCGGATATCGCTAGCAATGTGATCAAATCAGTTTTATCTAAAAAAATAATGGACGGTGAACAAGTTAATGGTAGACAAAAAATTGTTTTGATCACATAGTTGTCGATACCCGATCAACGTGATTTTTTGCAAGCATATAATACTCGACGAGTTCTATACATTGAACGGTTCAAATTATCCTAACGAGACTCGTGATAGGCCCTTACGGGCCCAACCGCACGGTCCAGTCTGATCTTGGATTGGACCAAAGCCAAACCCTTGTTTTTTATACCTACTTTCTTGACCAAGTGATGTGTAAAAATAAACAATCATTTTATTTTATTTTATTTTATTTTATTTTTTGTGACAAATGCCTTAAATTGAATATTTCACGATTTTCATACCGATATAATTTTTTTTATGAATGAAACACACAAAATACCTAATAAATTAAATGATTCAGATCACCAATACAGAATTGAACAATGATAGAGATTACTAATTTTGAAACTCTAAAAAGATCACTAATGACATGGCACTCAATAAAAAAAAAAAAAAATACAACATCAAGGCCAAAATATCAAATTATTCATGGTAGGACCCACTACCACATCATTAAGGGTACCACTAATTAGTGCTCGCGCTCATTTTCCTACAGAATTTGTGATAGGCCACACGCCCAAACAACGGTGTTCTATCCACACGAGTTGCCTCCGTACCTATAAATAAACTCTATAAATCCTAAATCTAATAAAATAATATTCTAAATTAATAATACTATAAACTTAAAAATTTCACTCCCAATTTTATTCAAAAATATTAATTTATAACTCAGATTCATTTATATGTATCAATTCAATATGTATCACCCTGATAATTCAAGAATAATGTCATGTCGCGCAACATAACAGTTCTGATTCTAAAATATATGGTAATTATTTTTTCCAAATAAGTAGTATGTGGTACTATTCACTATGCTTGGTTATCATTTTTCAAAAATATTTTTCAAAAAATTCAACTTTCTTATTTTTCGTATTTTTTTGTTTTTACTGAATTTTTTAAAAATTTTGAGCAATTTTTTTTTTTAATTTTTAGACATACCTAACATAAATATACCTAAAAAGTAAAAAACAAAATTGAAAATTTTTTTTTAAAAATTTACTAAATATCAAAAAAAAAAAAAACGAGAATTCAGTACATTTTTTGTATTTTTATGTATTTATTAATTTTTAAAAATATTTTTAAAAATATTTTTACTTTTTAGATACATCTAAGTAAGGTGCATTTAAAAAGATAAAAAAAATGTTTAAAATTTTTAAAATATTCAATAAAAACAAAAAAAACACAAAAACTAAAAAACTCAGTTTTCAAAAAACTTAATTCAAAAAACTCAAACCAAACACATTGATTATTTGTGGTACTAGTAAAACTATTATACTTCAGCGAAATTCTATGGTACTCACCCTTTTTAGGATGTGTATCATATATATCTTTAATTATGATTTTTGTGCATTTTGGTTATGACTTATTAAAATACTAGCATATGTTCATGTCTAAAGGCACAATATAAATAATGTTATGATTATAATATAATTGTAATTCCAATACTATTTAAATTTATTTTTTAATTTGATAAAATCAAAATTTTATTATAAAATTTTGAAGTTCTTACAAAACTCCTCACGAAAATTCACTTTTGCTTATATAATATATAACTAGATAGATATATATGTCTGACATACATATAATATTGCTTTTGCTTATATAATTATATAAAAATTGTATGTATGCTCGTAATGTCCTACTATATTACGGGGTATACATACATTGTATGGAAATATGTATAAAATATATTGAACAAAAAAGAGAAGAAAAAAATACCGAGAAAAAGAAAAGAGGGAGGAATGTGAGATCATGGGATCATGGGTGAGAAAAGGAAAAAGTAGGAGAAAGAAGCGGGAAAGTAAAAAATGTATATGTAACCATTGTTTTAAAATTTGAATAGATCTGAGCCATCTAAATATTCTAGTAGGATAAAAATATGTTGAAGATTGAAAAACCGTCTTACTTTATTATATAGATGTTGAAGATTCATATGAGATCTAAATTTATGAAAATTTTCAGGTATTCAATATATTTAAAAATAATAATTAATTATTCAAATTCATTTAATTTGTGGACTATAAAATTCATTAATATAATCTCCACTACACACAATAAAATCTGACTTCTAATTCTGGGATTGCAAACTTTTCCATATAATATGAATAAAAATAAGTAAACAAAAAGGAGAAAAAAAAACAAATAGAGAGAAAAGTAAAAACGGGAGAAAATAGAAAAATAAAAAGAAAAGAGGAAGGAAAGTGGGATAATGTGATCATGGCAAGATGGGTGAGAAAATGAAAAAGTAAAAAAGAGAAGCGAGAAAGTAGAAAATGTATATATAGGACATTTTTTGAAAAATATATTTAAGGCATTATTTTATAATTTGAACAGATCTGTGCCATTCAAATGTCCTATTAAGACAAAAATATGTTGAAGATTCAAAAATCGTCATGCTTTATTATATAGATTAATTATAATTCATTGTGATATTAGTTCTGACATTTTTTTATTATGATCTAAAAGTTTTTTTTAATTATATTTCATGTAGTATTTGGTTGCAACTCATATATATTTTTGGGGGAAATAGCAATTCAGTGTAAAATCAGATTTTTTTTTTTTTTGACAGATTAGTGGTAAACTTTATTAATAATTAAAATTCTAAATTTTTCTATGTATTTGAAAAGATTTTTTCAAAAGCTCTCTCTCTCTCTCTCTCTTATTTTATTTATAATTATGACTCTCATAAGTAGGGGTGTAAACGGTTCGGTTCAGTTGGTGTTGAGAATATATTTAGCACCGAACCAATCCTTTCTGTTTTTATGATCGAGAAACTGATACAAACAATATACTACGATTTGGTTTTATTGGTTTTGTCAGTTTGATGTAAAAGAGAAATTTACATAAAATTTTAATAGATTTTATAGTAGATTATAAAATTTTACATTGAAAATAAATAAAAAAAGGGTGAAAATTGCTCTATAAATCTTTTTCTCCCTAATTTTTATCCAAAAAGTGTATTATATTAGTTACTTCTCATATAATGTTCAAGAAATTATAATATAAAAATATTTAAACATAATATTCGGTCGGTTCAGTTTGTATCAGTATAAAAAGTTTCAAAATTAAAAAAGACCGTATGTCATGAAAAACAAACCGAAAACTAAAATTTCAGTTGATTTCGATGGGTCGGTTCAGTTTTATCAAATTTTCTTACATCCCTACTCATAAGATTGGATTATAACATTTGTGGTAATAAATACCACAAATGATATAACTTGCATATGGTACATGTCCTATCATTTCCCGTTGGTTAATAATTTTTTTCCAAAATTAATCTAAACTATCTCACGGGTACCTTACTTATGGTTGTTTTGGGACGTGACTACTTTAATTGTTCTTTTATAAATAAAAAAAAACAATTGGGAGAAAAATAAAGAGAATTATTGACATTTTATTTTTTTGACTTTTCAACTATGTTAAATGGTTGTCAAAACAAACCTTAAACCATAAAAAAAAAAAAATTAAAAATAATAGAATTTTTTTTAAAATTAAATAATCAAAGCCATTATTGGCTTATCCTAACTCAAAGTGGGACAAAAATCAATTGACCAAGTATTTTTTTAGACTCACATGTATGTACCTTTTGGTTCCAGGAATTCCCTCTCTTTCTAAGCCATTTGACGGGTTCCCGGAATTCCCTTGTTCATTTCAGATGTTTGTCGAAATGCCCAAATCGATTTTGTGTGTGTGTGTGTGTGTGTTTGTTCAAAACTCAAATACTTTGATCCTTTTTTGACTTTTCAACTATGTTAAATGGTTGTCAAAACAAACCTTAAACCATAAAAAAAAAAAAATTAAAAATAATAGAATTTTTTTTAAAATTAAATAATCAAAGCCATTATTGGCTTATCCTAACTCAAAGTGGGACAAAAATCAATTGACCAAGTCTTTTTTTAGACTCACATGTATGCACCTTTTGGTTCCAGGAATTCCCTTGTCCCTTTCTAAGCCATTTGACGGGTTCCCGGAATTCCCTTGTTCATTTCAGATGTTTGTCGAAATGCCCAAATCGATTTTGTGTGTGTGTGTGTGTGTGTGTTTGTTCAAAACTCAAATACTTTGATCCATTTCTTGTGCTGGATGAATTGTCGAGTAGGTCTTTGTTTTTACCTTTTATTTATTTATTTATTTTTTTTGGGAGGGGGGGTGTGGGTGGGGGTAATGACTTCTCTGGATGAAATTTTTTTAGGAGTGATGTGTAACACAAATTATTTCTAGCCAACTAAGTTTGAATTGCACTCTATACTTTATTTTTTGGATACATTTCGGAATATTTTTCTGAGTATGTAACATTTATGTTTCTTGCCTTTGTATTTTGGTGAAACTACGTGTATGTGAGAGTTGAGTTAAAAAACTTACCAACACATGGAGGGGTGCATGTGACACTTGCACCCCCATAATCTTTCATTGGCACTCTACCACAATTAAACTTGCACCCAGGGCCGGCCCTAGGCTAAGGCCCTAAGACTTGTGCATAGAGCCCCAAATTTTGGCCCAAAATAAAGCGCCCAAATTTATTAGTTTTATACGGATAAAAAAAAAAAAATTATTAGTTTTATATTATATTAATAAAAGTTCAAAACCCAATCTTTTTTTCAATTATTTGATGCCCAGTTTAAAAGGCTTCTCAAAAAAGTCTGTTAGGCCAAATTAAATATATATATATATATAATATTGTTAAGCCCAATTAAAAATTTATATAAACAAATATATATGACATAATGAGTGCAAATATTAAAGTTTTAATAGCATAAATAACTTCATCTTAATTTTTTTGCCCTCTCTTTATCATATTTTAGCTGAATAATTTTACCTTAATTTATTTTCCTTAATTTTGTTTGCCCTACTTTTTTGGCCATCTCTCTTTATCATAATTTAATTAAATAATTTTGTCTTAGTTTTTTCTCCCAGTTTTTTTCAATAATTTGTGTTTTGTTGTCAAATAATTAGTAGATTGTGATTTGTGTGGAGTATGATTGTATTATCAGATATCATATTACAATAACATAATCATTTCATTATTAGGTATCAGTGAATTATGTTTTTTGTGTTGATTATTGCTAAACTATAAAACAAGAAGACTCTATTTTATCTTTTTTGTCTTTTTAATGATTTTTCGTATCTTAATTTAATGAAAATAAAATTTAATTATAACTTTTTGTAGCTACTAAAAATGAAAATAAAAAAAAAATTATTGATAACTTATTATTTTATCCATAATTTTTTTGTATATATATATATATGGTAGGGCCCCACTTTCAAAGCCCGCCTCAAGTCCCATAAATCTTAGATCTGTCCTGCATGCACTCCATATGTTTGTAATTTTCTTCTCTATCTCCCACCTGCATGTAGTTCTTCCTTGTGTTTTTCTTGAAAAAAGAGATTGTCATTTGATTGAATCTATGCTTCAATTCTGTATTCAAAAGGGTTTGAAATAGTCACCTACATACACGTCGCAGGTATATATTTGTATCAATTATATAAAATTTTGGTTTCCTACCTTGGTATTTTTCTTGAGAAAATATTCTTTGCTTATTAAGATATTGTCATTTGATTGAATCAATGTTTAAGTTTTGAATTCATCAAGGTTTCAAGCAGTCAAATACATATTGCAGGCATATAAATTTGTATAAATTAGACAACATTTATGTTTTTGCATTTGTATTTTTCTTGAGAAAAGATTATTATTAAGAGATTGTCATTTAATTGAATCTATGTTTCAGTTTTGTATTCAACAAGGTTTGAAACAGTCACCTACATGTTGCAGGTATACATATTTGTATCAATTACTTTTTCGCAACCTAAAAGAAACTAGGATAAACCAGAAAGTAATGTTTTTTGTACTGTTTTGCACTAAGTTCATCTGTTGTACTTATGAAGTTATGCAAGATACTCGTCATGAAAAATATTTATTTCCTTCTCTTTCCCAGGGACACTGTTATAAAATTACAAAATATTTTTTTTCATGTATTAGGTTTAAGTGAAGTTTAATCAATGCACCCAAAGGTTGTTTGAAAAACAAAAGAAGCCCACTCAATGTTTTAGTTGTACACACAAATTTATTGTTTGCAAAATAAAGATAAAAATAGAGTGAACAATATAAATTTATTAATTTAAATTTTGCAATTACAATCTCTGATGAATTTTCTGGTAAAAAAAACAAAAAAATTCATCTAAATCTTCTCGAATGTTTGATTTTAATTCAATTGCATTTTTCTAATTAAGAAAATTGTACCTTATTACTACATATTTTTTACTAGATTGACTCTAAAATAGGTAACAAAAAAAATACATGTCTTAAACGAAAAAAAGATATTAGCCTTAATTATTATTTTACATACTTTTTTATTCAATTAGATAGAGTTAAATAAAAGATTAAAAAATGTCATGGCATCCCTTAGTGAACATTAAAATATATAATTAATAATTCACGTTATTGAGTCGTATCATACTTAGATTCATGTTGAAAAATAGTCAACCCTAACTTGCTAATTTTATATATTACCTGAGTTGTGTCAAAAATTATCATCCATATCCCCAATTAATTTTAGTTATTACAACATTGATAAGCTAAAACAACAGATTAGGTAGTGTGCCGCCGGTGATCTTAAGTCATTGAAGTGCCTACCATCTTCCCAGAGGTCAACGACCGATCATCTCTAATCTCTATTACCCACAAATGCCTTTGGTTCATTAACATTGAACATATGTTGTCACCCTTCAATTCATGCTTCTTCAATCTAGTGTTCTGTAATGTAAAGATTTTTTTTTTTTTTGTCATTTTGTTTTATTTTTCTTCATAGTAATTTTACTGATATCTAGTAAAAGTTGCTAAAAACACTTTTTAATATATATATATTAGAGTATACTTCGTTATCATAGCCCACCCTACTTGAGTGGGATATAAGGCTTAGTTTGGTTTGGTTTGAGCATGCTTTGTTATGAAAATTTCTTTGTCTATGAACTGCAATATTTTTTTTTTGGGTTGATAAATCTATGAACTGCAATATTATTTATCTCTCTCTCCCAACCCACCTGTAAGAAGGAGCAGTGCACTGGGAAAGATAGATTGGTTCTACTACCAAAACTACTCTATTTTTGAAAACTTGAACTTCCAATGAATTGCCTGGTTGTAAATGCTTGTAAAAACAAATTTTCTTTGAATATCAAGGAAAAGACTTGTCCACTCCCTATTTCCATAGCTTGTTTAACGTCTTCAAACTTGACTTTGAGAAAGAAGTTGCTTGATGTGAGTTGAATTGGGTAACAGAACTGTTTGGTTATTAATGACAACTTTTGTTGGTTTAATGGCCAAAATCATATGATGATGTTGTCCTTTTGTATAAATTATCAACATCAACAATTTGAAGGACAAACAAATAAGTTTATGGGAGTAGAATAATATCTTTTCAATTCATAAGCTCTATAATGTAACCCATTGTAGGTTTGGTATTCACAAACTGCTCTAAAAGCTTAACTTGTTACAAAGGGTGTAGCTTAAAGAATATATATTGTCAACATGCCCCCTCATGTGTGCCAAACTCCAGATAAGAACCAAATTCTCAAGGTTTTAAGCAATCGGAAAGGATTTGAAGTTTTTTTTTATATTGTCAACAGGCTGCCTCTGGTATGGCCAAATTTATTTTATTGAGTTGGCAAACTCATGCATACCTTAAATTTTATTAGGTGAGCTTGAGACTTGAATACAAGACCTTCCCATTTTGATGCCATGTTAACCAACAATGGCTCTTAAAAGATTTTAGAGGAGTTGAGCAAATGGTTTTTAACATGGCATTAAAGCAAACAAGTCTTGAGCTTGTATTGCACAGTTACCTTATAGATGTCATACACAATTGTCATTGGCTCGCTCATGGACGGGATTTTGGCCACACGAGGAAGTGCATTGATGATGTAAATACAATTACACTTTCTAATAGCTTCAATTTTTAGATGTTGGTTGTTAAGTTTATAGGATATAATATTTCATGTATTGTCAAATAGCTTGCATGAGTATATTGTACTCAATGTTTTAAATTCTTCTTAAAATTTTGAACTGTTAACTATATTTATGAATATTCTTTTGCAGGAAATTTCAAAATTAAGATACGAATTATGCCCGCGCGTGATGAAAGAAAGGAAGTTCTGGAAGATATACTTTATTCTAGTTAATAGTCATGTGGCTCCGTGAGTAACTTGTCCTGCGTAAATTCTTTTATTTTTGTGTACTGACTAAGGCTTACATTGCTTTCACAACCTAAATCAGTCTTTGACCCATCAGCAGATATTCTTGCATCATTTGCATTCATAGACAGTGCCATTTTCTTATAGGCTTAATATGACATATAATAAATATATAAAATTATATGTTTTGCAATTAGGTGGTGTGCTTTTCACCCAAGCTTGTTCCTCAAGTCGTGAGATATTAAGAGGTGTAAATTTTTCAATTTCTTTGCTGCAAATTACTCTCTAGTTTATCAAAAAAATTGTTCAATTTCTTACAATGAATGTTCGTTTGAGTGTTGTATCTTCTTTATTCTGCAGTTTGCATTGGGCTGAACTCTGTATGCATTTTTTTTTCACAAACCAGTTGCAAATCCAAACAATCTGGTATGTAATTGTTTGGTTTGCTGTTTCTTTGTCTTCTATGGAGATGTCATTACTTGATTTCTATGCTTCTATATTAGATTGATGCTTGTTATTGCCCCAATTCTATTTAATATTTGGCTCAGCCTATGTATTGTCTTTGTTTTGTTGTTTTGCTACAATTTTATCTTTTGCTCACCATGTGTTTGATAATATGCCCAAACCAATAATAACATACTTTCATTGATCACTTACTGTTGTTGATTAGGAAAAACAACTTAATTTTTATTAGTTTGTTTTCCTTGCCTGCAATATTTCGTACCACTCTTAATCAACAATATGATTTCATTGGATTTTCCCTTTTGGTTCAAAATAAACCTTTATTAATTACTTAATCTAATCAATACAATGGCCACGTTTAGTGTTTCTTGTAGAGATGGGCCTGCTTTAAATGCCTAGGCCAAGTCTAACAAAATTGTGCACGTACTCACTACTTTTGGCATGTAGTTTGACTATTTGCATAGGGCTCGCTTGTTACTTGATCTTGTGATATACAAGCACAATTCAGCTCCTATTGTTGGTGATATCGCGCAATATAAAGCTGGTGACGCTCTATTCTTTTTTATTTTTCATAATTTCGTACAATCGATGACATTATCGCATTTCTTAAACTGGTGAACTTTGAGTTTATAACTCAACCTTTGATATAAAATTATATTCTCAAGTGTGTTATCTTGTGCAGAACTTAAAGCTAGGGGTGAATTGAAACGGAAGTAGAGGCTATAGACTTTCGTCATCCTGAAAGAAGGAAAGATAGTGGATAAGGTTGTGGGAGAACAAAGACGAGTTGCTACCATTGCCAAGTGTGTCAATGCCGCCTGATTAATACTATTATGTTTCGATTTTTACTTTTCATGGTGTCTGTGGACCTTTGTCATATGATACATATTGATTTGGCTTTGCTTCATAATGGAAACACACTACTATTCATGTCTGGGAAACTTAGACAGAGCTTTATAATTAACAAGATTCTTTGCTACATTCTAGCTACGCATCATCGTTTATTTTCTTGGGATTTGTTTGATGTTGGCTTAAAATCTGTCTTTTGTTGGTTTTTTGGTCTATAGCGGCATTTTTTTCTTTTTTCTTTTTTTTTTCTTTTTTTTAATAAAAAAAAAGAAGATTTTCATCGACTCAGTATTAAAAAAAAAACAGAACGTATATTATTGGTATCATGTTAAATGAAAAAACAGATTTTCTTTTTTTGTTGGTATCATTATTGATATTATTATCATTTGGTTTCAGAAATTGGTTTTCACTTTCCTTCCATCACACTTCATAAGTTCAATTTTCGATTTTTTTTCTCTTTCTTTTAACATTTGAATTCCTACTAGACCCCCTTCCAATTAAAAATAAAAACTAGAAAATGAAGAAATAGAAAAGTAGACTGCCCTGCTGGATATTGATAGTAACAAAGTTACCAACTTAGTTGATCAGTTCATGGCAAAATGAAAAGGGAACAATGAAAACAGAGAGAGGAACCATGCTTAAATGGATCGGTCAAGACCCTTGACAGATTCAAATGGGCTATAAAATAGGGAAACAAATGAGAAATCAAAGTGCCAATTGGATGACACCACCAGAACTGGACTACTATTGATTTTGTTCAATGGATTCCACAGTGGACAACCAGAGGAAATTTCATTAATTGCAATACAATCTTCATAAAAATAATTTGCAAAACCAGTTCCGAATACCTACTATTTAACTTCTCAAACAAAAACATTGGCTTTTGCATCGGTTGGTTCTAGGTTACATACAATTGAGCAGCGGATGATTTTAACAGTCCTCAAAAAATCAGTGTAATTGCATAGAACAAATGAATGGTGATTAAGGACCAATACCATGTACCAGCAAAATAATTGCCACCACTTATATCTGCACTAGCAGGGCCAAATCCCACTGTTGCTGATGACCCTGTAAAGCTTCCATTGTTTACTGCAAAGCTGGATTGCCAATCACCACAAATTATATAAATATTTAAAACAATATGTTCAAAGGAAAGCAAAAAACATTGAAAAATAATCTGAATTCTTATATGGATATTGAATAGTCTGCATGATATAAAATGAATTAAACGTAAATTAAACTAAAATATTTTTTTTCTAGAAGAACACATCGTGTCGCAATAGAGTGTGACCACTACACAAATTTTGTGGTCCAGCACCACCACACTAGCAAGAGATGTTGGAAAGCAAAAATATTAAAACACTTCTTGTTTAGCTATGTAGCAAAACCGACCAAACCAATAAAACCAACCAAGAAAAACCGCAAAACTGACCAAACCAATAAAACCAACCAAGAAAAACCGCAAAACTGACCAAACCAATAAAACCAACCAAGAAAAACCGCAAAACTGACCAAACCAATAAAACCAACCAAGAAAAACCGCAAAACTGACCAAACCAATAAAACCAACCAAGAAAAACCGCAAAACTGACCAAACCAATAAAACCAACCAAGAAAAACCGCAAAACTGACCAAACTAAGAAAACCAACCAAGCTAGACCAAATTGACAGAAACCGATCAGTTTCCCCATAAGCTTCAGTCAGTTCAGTTTTGATATTTTCAGTTCAATCTCCATTTGTATTGTTTTATAAACCAAAAGAACAACAATCGACCATTTAGCAACAGCAACCATATCACAGATCTGCACTCTAAAATTATTTGTTTATCAGACTATAATTGACATTAAGGATTAAATCGAAGCCAATTAAAATATCAAATAACACAACAACCAGACCCCAAATCTCATCTGATTCAAGCCACCATTAGCATTTACAAGAAGAAAGCCATTTGTCTTTGCATCCAGCTCTGTCAATAGCAGTAAAATCAAGTGAATAGAAATTGACATATGCCCACAAACACAAACAAATTAGAGAAAAATTTTCAATTGTAAAGAATTCTTACTTTTTTTTATTAGAACCTAAACTAGTGAATGTCTTTGCAATATAAATTTGAAACTTACATCAACCATAAAATACAAAATACTATCAAATTTATACAAAATACTAACAAATTTAAGTCCTCAAAAAAAAATTTTAAAAAAAAATCTTAGTTTAGCTCCCAATATCACCCACTCGATCATATCAACTATTAACCACAGCAACACCTGCAAAAACAAATTATATTGCCGTTAAGGTTTGTTCACTTGAAATCTATGGTTCAAATCATAACAAATTGAATTTTGATATATTGGTCATTACACACTCTTTTGTCATTTTGTGTTCGTAAATTATTTATTTTCATAATAAAGTTGTAAACATCATAATTAGTTATGTCATCTAAATGTTCTAGCTAAAATCTATCTTGGCATATCAGGAAATTGGAATTAAGCAATCACACATAAAATTTGCAAAGCAAATGTAAGCAAAATGAACATAATTTGAACTGAAAAGATGCCATAAAAGTAATCACCTAGAGACGGGCCAAGTGTTGCTTTGCTCTCTGGCCTTGCCTTGAGCATACCCATTTTCTACTAAGAACCTTTGTTGCTGCATTGTTCCCGTGTCTTTCCTAATGCTAAATCCCACAACTTTAGCATATTGGTTATAGAAATCATTGGCATCCTCTTCTCAATTGAATTGCATTTCAAGAACATCATTCTTGGTTAAACTTTGAATAGGGTCATTTGCATGGGAACCTAACTCTTCTTTATCTTCAAGCTTATGCTCAAATTTAGCACATCCAAAAGGATCCATGATAACTACATCAAAAACAATACGAAAAGAATAAATTAATGACATAGTTATTGAAAATCAAAATAAATAGAGAATGACTCTGTAATCAACAATCAAAATATTGGTTGATCAATAGAAACACAATAAAATAGAAACAGACAAGTTTGTAAGATTTGGTTCTTTGGTTTGGGTTCTTTGGGTTGTAATCAACAATCAAAATATTTTTAGGTATTTGGATTGATCTAAAACACACAAGTTTGTAAGATTTGGTTTAGTGATTCTTAACCAAGGAGAATCATTCCCTGATATGTGTTTCTGTTTCCTAACCAATGCTCTGCTATCAATTATATGCAAATAAAAAAAAACACACTTGTACGTACCCTACTATCAATTAAAATAAAATAAATAAATAAACACACCCGCAAGTATAACTTTATACACGGAACGTCTTTTTTTCTTAAGACTTCAATAAAAGATTATTTTGGAAACAAGGAATAATTCATTATGAATTAAGACATAAGAAACTTTGGAATTCTGGACTAAATCAATGGAAAAACTAGTTAAGAGGTCATTATTAATACCATTTATCTCATATTAGATGGTCTAGATTAATAGCAGCAAAATGGAAAAATAGAATCAATCAATGTCGCATAATTCAAAATCAAGATTTAAACAAAGAGAATTCATATGAAAAGACCTATTAATTCATTACAAAAAACAAAACGATTACAAAGTATATTCATTACCAAATCAAAATGAGAATTTTCAAAAATACTATAGATATAATCTTTTATCTTATAGATCTATTAATTATGAAAATAAGAGGGACCCATATATTTATGGATCACCATTCCAAGTAAATAAGAATCTAGTGAGTTCTTATAATTACAACACACAAATAGGGGCAAATTTTTTGATATACTAGGGGATATCCCTATCAAAAATTATTCAGGAAAAAGTGATATTATGTATATGGAAAAAAATCCGGATCGAAAATATTTTGATTGGAAAATTCTCCATTTTTGTCTTAAAAAGAAAATCGATATTGAGGCCTGGATCAAGATCGATACCAACAAGAATAAAAATACTAAAACCGGGACTAATAATTATCAAATAAATGATAAAATTGATAAAAAAGATCTTTTTTATCTTACGATGCCTCAGGATCAAGAAATCAATTCACCCAATCAAAAAAAAATATTTTTTGATTGGATGGGAATGAATGAAGAAATACTAAGTCGTCCTATATCGAATCTGAAACTTTGGTTCTTCCCAGAATTTGTACTACTTTATAATGCATATAAAATGAAACCGTGGTTTATACCAAGCAAATTACTTTTTTTTAATATAAATGAAAATGGGAGTGAAAATAAAAACATCAATAGAAAGAAAAAGGGGGTTATACCCTCGAATGAAAAAAAAAAAATGGAATTAAAGAATAAAAATAAAAAAGAAAAAGAATCTGCAGGCCAAAGAGATCTTAGATCAAATGCACAAAACCAAGTAAATCTTGTATCTGTTCCCTCAACCGAACAAAAAGATATTGAAGAAGATTATTCAGAATCAAACATGAAAAACCGTAAAAAGAAAAAACAATACAAGAGCAATACCGAAGCAGAACTAGATTTCTTCCTGAAAAAGTATTTACTTTTTCAATTGAGATGGGATAATGCTTTGAATCAAAGAATGATCAATAATATCAAAGTATATTGTCTCCTGCTTAGACTGAGAAATCCAAGAAAAATTACTATATCCTCTATTCAAAGGAGAGAAATGAATCTGGATATAATGCTGATTCAGAAGAATTTAACTCTTACAGAATTGATGAAAAGGGGGATATTAATTATCGAACCCCTTCGTCTGTCTGTAAAAAATGATGGACAGTTTATTATGTATCAAACCATAGGTATTTCATTAGTTCATACGAGTAGGCATCAAACTAATCAAAGATACCGAGAACAAAGATATGTTGATAAGAAGGATAAGGATTTTGATGAATCCATTTCAAGGCATCATCAAAGGATAACCGGAAATAGAAAAAAAAATCATTATGATTTGCTTGTTCCTGAAAATATTTTATCGTCTAGATGTCGTAGAGAATTGAGAATTCTAATTTGTTTCAATTCAAAGACTAAGCATGATGTGAATAGAAATCCAATATTTTGCAATGGGAACAAGGTCAAAAATTGGAGTCGATTTTTTGATGAAAATAAAGATCTTGATAGAGATAAATTAATTAAATTCAAATTTTTTCTTTGGCCCAATTATCGATTAGAAGATTTAGCTTGTATGAATCGCTA